TGGCTCCCCAGCAAACAGCTTACTTGTTCTTCTTATAGCCAAACAGACTACCATTTTTGTTTTTTTCCTTCTAGTCTTTCTTTCAGGAAGAATCTTCTATTCCTCTAGCTGCTCCAGGGTGTCTGCATGTCCTTTCAAGTGGGAATGTCCCACTTCAGAAAGTTCTGGATGGGGCTCAGGATTCCACCTAAGGTCCTATACTCTACAAAGGCTCTGCAAGAAGCCTATTTCACTGGGCAAGTTCTAGAACTCCTTTTAGGTATTTCAATGAGTTATAGGCTGAAGATAGGCTTACAAGTTTTCTGTAATCTTATTTCCTGATATTTCTTTCTATCCCACTTAAATGTCTGTTTTACAATAGTAGGCAAGGGAAACCAATATCCATAAGACAGTGGAACATTATTTCCCCTCTTTTACTCATTCAGACTGTGCACTGATCACTGTGTAACAGAACCCTGTTGTTCTGAGTAAACATCACTACTTACCTCTGGTCCATTTGACCCAACAGCAGCACTAGATAGGGTTTCCAAGGAGCAACTGGTGGATTTGAACTGCCGACTTGGTAGCTTACAGTCCAGTGCTAATCCTATAGCACCATACCAGGAGTATATATATGATAAAGAACTCTGATCTCACAACAGTTAAGCACTCCACTGCTAGTAGTTTCGAATCGCAGCCCGACTCGAAACCCCTACGCTAACCAGAGCTGGAATACTACAAATGTTCAAGAATAATGATGAATCTGTGAAACACCTCACAACATGGTTGAACCTGGAAAACATTATGCAGAGTAAAATTAGTCAATCACATGAGGATAAACGTATTGTATGAGACCAATGTTGTAAAAAGTTAAAAAAATATTTTCTTATAAAAGAATCAGTCTATGATAGTTATGGGGGTGGGAATTATTCCTGGGATAGAGGGTAGACACATGATAACATGGGTGACAGGGCAGACAATATGCAACAAGAGGAGGTCAGCAGAGGAAAGACGAAGGTAGCGGAAGACACAGGGAGGAATGCAATAGTTAAAGCGAATAGAAGTGGTATTGTTGTGTGCCGTGGAGTCAGTTCCAACTCACAGCGACCCTGTGCAGGGTTTCTAAGGCTGTAAATCTTTACGGGAGCAGAAAGCCTCATCTTTCTCCCATGGAATAGCTGGTAGTTTCGAACTGCTGACTGTGAGATTAATAACCCAATTCGTAACCACTACATGGAGGGGATTGCAGCCATGTAGTGAAGCAAAGTGTAGGGTTTATTGAATGGAAAACTGATTATCTGCTCTGTAAACCTTCGCTCAAGTCACACACAATAAAAGATTCAAAAAAGAAAAAAAACTGCCTCTGAATTCACAGGCTGGTGCGGAGTGTTTTGTTTCTCTCTCTGTTTTCCATTGCTCTGTCCTTTCACCTCTATTTTAGCAATTATCACATGTTGTCGTTAAGTGTGGTCAGGTCACTGCCACTCACAGCGTGTCTGTATAGGGTTTCCGAGGAGTGGCTGGTGGCTTTGAACCACTTTGAAGTTAGTAGTCCAGTGCTTATCCTACAGGGCTATTTCAGGACTCCAATTATCACACAGCTTTATTATAATTTATTTGCATGTCTCTTTCTACAAATCTGAAAACTTCATCAAAGTTGCTCTCCCTTTTATGCACCGTGGAGTCAGTTCCAATTCATAGCTACCCTGTATAGGGTTTCTGAGGTTGTGTATATCTTTGTTGGAGCAGAAAACCTAATTATCAAGATGGTGGTGGTGGTGATATGCCGTGGAGTTGCTTCTGCCTCATAGCAACCCTGTATAAGGTTTATGAGGCTGTAAATCTTGACGGGAGCAGAAAGCCTCATCTTTCTCCCATAGAGCAGCTGGTAGTTGCGAACTGCTGACCTTGAGCTTAGCAGCCCGACTCGTAACCTTTGCGGTACCAGAGCTCCTTTATTATCAATTATCAAGGTAGGGAAAATTTATTTGAAGTTTTAATTTTTAATCACTAGACAGTGCGTAGTAGGAGTCCTGGTGTAGGGCTGTGAGTTAATGCGCTGGACTGCAAAGTCAGTCTGAAATGCAAGGTTGGCAGTTCAACCTCACCAGCAGCTGCTTGAAAACCCTACACAGTGTAATTATGGTTTAAAACGGACTCGACAGCACTTACCAACAACAAGAAGACATTGCGTAGGCCACAGTGCATATCTGTTGACTGAATAAATGAGTGAACTTTAACCTGACCTCAGGAACTCATTCTCTCTCATTACTTACTGATGGATCTTGCTCTCATTCATTCTCTTCCCTTCCAAAGTCTTTGATGCCTCTCTTTCTATTAGTGGCTTCTTCTTGTCTACTTTCTTGTAATTTCTCTCATTATTTCCTTCGTATGCTTTGTCTCTATGATAGCACTTCTTCACATGATGCCTTGTAGTTATTTTATTAAGCCACAGAAATCAGTTGTATACTGAAGCTAGTATACCTAGAACAAGCAGAAGCCCGATGTGTGATGTGCCCTGAATATCCTGAAAACGTTGTTGTGATGATGCCTACCTCAGAAGGTTGTTGCTACAAGGAAGCAAAATAGCTTACACAATAAGCTTAATGTGGTCTGGGCAGGTTAAGGATGTACTTAGCAATCGATAAATGTTGCTTTTTAACTTTCTGTAATATTGTAGATGTGAAGATATCATGTGTGATCCAAAATAATGATATAAAAATAAGTTAAAATAATATAACATGAGAGTATATTCACGACTGAAATTGAATAGCTTTTGTCTGGATAAAAGCACGTCTTAAGAGACACACCACTAGGCATTATTGAAACCACTGGAAGTGCATTGTGTAGCCAAAACAAATATTTGAAATCTTACATTCCATCACAGATATTCCTCTTATTCTCATAAACTGATTGTTGTTATGTTCTGTGGAGCTGGCTCTGACTCATAGTGATCCTATATTGTTGTTAAGCGACTTTGAGTCATTTCTGACTCATAGTGACCCATTTCTGAGGAGTGGCTGGTGAGTTTGAATTGCCGACCATTTCAGTTCAAACCAGCCTTTCTTTCCAGTGCTTATTCTGCAGCAAGCGCCACATCACTGACCCTATATGCAACAGCGCCACACCACTGACCCTATATACAACAGCGCCACACCACTGACCCTATATACAACAGC